CTCTTCGACATCATCAAACCCTAACCAACAATTCACCCTATGTCTCTCTCCTCCCAATTCTCTCTCTTTCTTTGGCAGCCACCAAGGGAGATTTGGACTGCCACATATGCGAATTTTGAAGTCAATTTAGTGATTTTGTTTGTGGGTTTTGAGCCTTTTGACAATTGGGGGGAGGGGTCGATGAAAGACAGAGAGAGAGAAGGGAGAAGGTGGGGTGGATTTTTTCTGGGTGTGGGTGGGTTGGTTGGTTGGTGGGGCTAGCTGAGATGAGAGAAAAAATGGTGGGAGTTGACGATTAGGGATTAAAAAAAAAGGACATTTTTATCTTTATTTTTTACCTATTTAAAATAATTTCAAGCATTTTTTTTTAATAGTTAAATTTACCAAAATACCCATGCCACTTCAGCTAATTTAATGATTTCTATCTAAAAACTAACGGAATGGGGCAACTTTGGTCACATAATATAAGTTCAAGGGGGAGATTGAGTCATTTGAAATGTCAAGAGGCAAACTTAGACTATTTGAAAACATAGAGGGCATTTCAACAAATAAGCCAAAAAAAATAGTGATTTATTATGAGAAATGTTATTTACATTCCCATAAATAATTAAGATAACTTTTCAAATTATATGGTAATAAAACTCAATATTTTTGTGGGTTAATTTTACTTCAGCTTTTTACTAACTAATTTTTAAATTTTTGTATTCAATGTTTAATTTCCCTATTCCTGTCACTTTTATATGGATCCTGAGCTTCTACATTTAGCCACTATGCATTTACCCGCATTTCACAAGATCTTAACCATTCTAATGATCTAACGAGTCAAAATATGACATGTCAATTTTTAATTTTAACACCTATCTATTTAATTAACTCCAACTTAACATCATTAAGTCTAAATAAATTAAAATAAAGAACAAACCATAAACTTATCAACAATCAAGGAAGGGGCAATATTTAAAAGCCTAAAAGCTCAAAAGAAATACCTGGATTATTTGAAGGAGTATTTGAACTACCCGAATTATTCGAATGAGGATTTAGGGTTTAGGGTTATACAAAGATAACCAAATCAGAAAACAAAAACAATATCTCTTAAAAAACAAAAAAACAAAAAAATAACAATGGTCCTTCAAGTAAGACCCCACTTCACTTTTAGTCCCTTATCCCCAAAAATTGTTATGATGGTGCTTGAACTATGCCTCAACTTTCAGAACTCGTCCTTCCCGTTAGCTCTATCAACTTTTTCTTTGAAAATTAAGGCTATATTTGTCTTTTCATATGCTAGATTCTTAATAAGCACAGCCCAGCCTCAACAACCACCTCTCTCTCCCTCTCTCTCCTCTAGCCACCCTTCACAAACCTAACCCCACAAATCAGCCACCGACCCACTCTCTCCTTCTCTCATTTCTTCCTCCTTTTGTTCGTCAGCCCCCTCCTCCGCCCAACCTTTTCATCGACTAGTCTTCCTATCAATCAATTGAACAATCTAAACAAAACCCAAAAGGATCATTGGAGAGAGAGAGTTGTTGGGTTTGGTTAGAATGAGGTAGTGACTAGGTAGAAATCTTATTTGCCCTTAAAATTTGATATGAATTTCTCAATTTACTCTTAATTTTGACAGAAAATTTAATAGAATTGACGAAATGACGAGTGGTGCAACTCGATATCTAAATGAATGATGACTATAACAATTTTTTGGGTGGAAGGAAGAAAAGTAAAGTGGGGTCTTATTTGAGGGACCGTTGCTACAATTTTACCCAAAAAAAATAATAAACTACATATTATAAAAAACCAAAAAAAACAAAAAACAAAAATACATTCAAACTTGGAAAGAGAGGGATGGATCTGCAACAAGACTCAAGAGCACACAAAGCTTCGTTAAGAATCAAGAATTCAACGCAAGGCATCCCTTGGTCCATTTAATTCCTGTCGGGACTTTTTCGTTCCGGCAGCTACAGATGGGTCTGGGCTGCTGTAAAGAGCAAATGGGTGGACTTGCCCCTGTGTCTGAGGTCAAGAATCAGGCCCCAAGAGTGCTTCAAAAGGTTTGTGGAGTCTTAGGAAACACATTGGTCTCTTTCACCAACAAAACCAACAGTTGCTTATAGATGAATATCTTGGATTGGCTTGAGAAGCTTGTGGCATGAGAGCTGAGCATTCATGAGTTTAGCATGAGAGAGAGAAGGCTTGGGTTTTCTATGAGAAACAGAGGCTCGAAATAAGGGGAAAATGAATTTTGAGATGATTTGTTGAGGGAATAGAGGAAAGAATGAAGGAAGAAGAATGATGGCTTTAGCAAACTTCCGGCGGTTGACGAAAGCTTCGTCAATGTAACATCCCACATCGACCAATGAAGAGGGGGTGATGTGCCTTGTATGTACATGCCCATCTTCATCTAGCAAAAGGCCTTTTGGGAGCTCATTGGTTTCGGAGTCATGGGAACTCCGAAGTTAAGTGAGTTGGGGCTAGAGCAATCCTAGGATAGGTGACCCACTGAGAAGTTGCTCGTGAGTTCCCAGAAATAAAATCGTGAAGGAAGAGAGCGGAGCCCAAAGCAGACAATATCGTGCTACAGTGAAGCCGATCTAGGAATGTGACAGTCAGGCTTTTGAGCATTTTGCTAGAAGAGAAAATGGGAAGAAAGAAGAGAGAGGAAGAAGATGGAAGAATGGGTGGTTTTAGTAAATTTCCAGTAGCTTGACGAAAGCTTCATCAAGCTCTTGAGTGTTTTGCCAGAAGAGGAAAGGGGAGGAAATGGAAGAATATGGCTCGAAATTGAAGGGTACCAGTAGTAAAAAGGGATGATTGCTCTCTCTAGATGTGTGGTTAGATGATGGGTAGGAGATGCCCCTTTTATATGCGCTGGAAGCTCCTTCTTCCCAAGAAACCCTAGCTGGTTCTTCCCAAATCAGCCAAGCCTCCACCTCAATTTCTCTTCTTTTCCTTTGATTCATCCTTATTTTGTTAAATCTTTCTCAATCCAAACACACAGCGACAAGATTTTTGAAGGCTCTAGAGCCTTCCCGCAGCTGTCCCTTCGACCATCTCCTATTTTGGTATACCCTTTCTCCTTCTTTTCTCATTCATTTTATTGCAAGAGCTGGTGGGAGAAATGAGTGGGTAATGGAGTGGTTTGAAGGGTGTTTTGCTCAAGTATCCTTTGATTTTTGGGATGGCCTGTGTTGGGTTTGTCTTTGGCATGTGCTGGAGACTCCTAGCAGCCTGCACATGCAAATGCCTTTTGGTTCTTTAGGTGGTCTATCATGGTTCTGTCCCTGGCTATGTGCTGGAGACTTTAAGATATTTTCTAAGTCACTTGGGTCATTTCCTAAGGTGATGGGCTAGTTTACTAAGGGCATGGGCCAACTTTCTAAAGTGATGAACTATTTTTACTAAGGTGATGAGCCAATTTTCTAAAGTAATGGGCTACCTTTTTCTCTCTTTCATGCTTACCCATATATTTGGGCTCAAGAAATAGGCTCAAGTTTTGGAGCTCACAAGCAGCCCAAAACTTCCACTTATTGGCCCATCAATGGGCCTCGTGAATGCTCGTAACCATCCATACCACAATCCACTCAGCAAGCCCCAGACATTCTCGTGGCTTGGGCCTACTTAAGCTTGTAGCGTCGCTTGGTGAAAAATAAGGATTTTCTACATGGTGTGGCGTGTTATTTGGCGTGCTTGTGCTCGAGCTTTGCATTTTTGTAAGGACTATGGCCGGGCCAAAATGGCGCTTGACAGCATAATGAACATGGGTTCATAGAACCAGTATATTTCACGGGCTTGTTACAATCTTTCTGCGTGGCATGTTGCATATTTGCTTGGCATAACACGTGTGAAAGCGCATATGACGAACTCTTGCATACCTAAGTTGGGTTTCTTCTCGAGTTAGGTGTCGTACTGGGCTAGAAATATATTTGGGCCTAGCATTGGATTTTTTGGGCCTCAACAATTCCAACTTGGGCCTCATCGCAACAAAGAAAAAAACAGTGCATCATCTAAACAAGAAAAGAACAAGTCACTCGGTTGCTGAGGCATTTATTCAAACAAGTGGTGGGCACCTCCAAGGCAGAGCTGATGGGTAAACTCTAGCGACTTCAAAGCTTTTTCTTGCAATGGGAGGTGCAGCTACACCTCCTTGCACCTCAATGGGCCAGTGTTCCTGTACCATGCCTTGGCCCTTACTTGTGTTGATCTGCCTTCAGATTGAAGGCACTAATTAAACGAGCCTTGACATCGCATGCATTCCCTTTGTTGCAAATTGACATGGAATGCATTCCTTTACAGTGCCTTGCCTTTGTGCATTAGCATTGCATGCTTGCCATTTGTTTAGTATTTAGGGCTTAGAATTTAGGGTCTTACAATATTCAACAGTTTAGGGCACTCCTTATGAAAAGACTTGTTTAGGATTGAAATGAGCCTATATCTTATTGGTAAGTTATATATATGAAAATGCAATATATTACCCGTTAGTTATGGAGTGAAAAATCTATATCTTGTCAACAGATGAGTGGCCAGTCCAAAACTCATCTTTTAATACCAAAACTCTCTGCCAAAGGTGTCAAACTCAATGAAAAATGCATTGACTTATAGACTAGTGGTCTCAAGTTCGAACCCTTATGACACCGTGGTAGTTTGTGTATGTAAAAAACCTCTCTCCCCATTTCTTTTCTTTACCTCACATATTTTCATATTTTTCATGATATTGCATTAATTTAATTGAAGAGTATGTTGGAGCAAAAATTATTCAAGTAACAAATAAACATTTTCAAATTGCCACATAGGTCATCAAATTTTATCGTGAAGAGTTTAATTTGGTTTAGATGAAGCTCCTATGCACATTATTGTTTGGGCCATGGCCCCATGTAACCCAAAACAGAAGTTGATAATAGCGGGCAGGATCTGCTAATCCGATTGACCCGAACCCAATACAAGCGGGTAGTCCCGGTCCTCTTTTATGTTCATACATAGACACTCGGATATTCAGTCAGTCCGTTCAGACCAAAAAAAAAAAAAAAATCAGTCCGTTTGCACTCTCTCAGTCAGAGGTTCAGTTCAGGTACTTACGGCTCTCACTCATTTAATTATTTAACTTAAATAGAAAAGTAGCTCTGCCTACTAGTACTGCTATTGTAATTGTAATTCCAGGACTGTTTCAAAAGTCAGATGAAGGTCTTTTTCTCTTCTTCTTTTTTGGTGGGATTCGACAGATAAAGAGTTTAGACAGTTTAATTGGTTGTGGGTAGGCTTAAATTTTGATTATGTAGGAAGTGTACCAGGATTAGGTTAAAAATATAAGGGCACAACATGGGCATCTGTTTTAAGGTTTTGATTCCAGAAATTAAAGGGAAACGAAAATTAGAAAGAATGTCGGTCAAACGTTAACGTAGCTAATTTGTTTCAATTTAATTGAATTGGCTATTACAATTTCAATTGTGTCATTGCAGATCAAAAGCTTTCACTCCACATGGTAGTGAGCATTGCGCCTTATTGCTTGAGTTTTTCTCAACAAACCTGTCATTCAAACTACATTTCAAAGCATATAGCATTAAGTGAATATAGAAGAGACATACGGAGGGGTTGCCTTAGAAGGCCTCAGATTTTGCCTTCTACTCTTGGAGATGCTGTTGGGTTACGTGTGTTTGTGCTTTCCGACTTGCACACCGACTATACCGAGAACATGGAATGGGTCAAGTGCTTACCAAGTGTCAGATACAAGAATGATATTCTTATTGTTGCGGGTGATGTTGCTGAGACGTACAAGAACTTTATCGTGACAATGTCTCTCTTGAAGGACAGATTTGAGCATGTCTTGTATGTACCTGGCAACCATGACCTTTGGTGCCGTCACGAGGGAGAAATTTATGTGAGAAATATTCTTTAATTATCAGGCCTCTGTGGTGCATGCACTACCTCCTCCAACTGCAATAGTTCACAGAATCTCATTGCTAACCTTGTAATGTTATATACATCCATCTGTACATGTTCATAATATTTATCATTCTTGCATATAACAGCACTGCAGAGCTCGTTTGTTTGATCTGCAGCCACTCGCTAGAGAGTCAAAACAAGCCAATATTTCCCTAGTTTAGGATTTAGGATTTAGTTTAACCCAGTGCAGACTTAAAATCAGCTCCTTTGACTTTTGATGATGACTTTACGAGGATGCCTTTAAGCAAGCAGAAGAGACCTTTAACCAGATCTGCCAAGATTTTTAGTTGCAAGTTGGAAATTCCATTAGTGACCCATCCCGTAAAGAGAATGTGAAATCAAATAACACTGAGACTGCATTTGGTCTCTTCTCAGATTAAACTGAGAGCTATGACCCTTTTTGCACTCAGTTTCAGGGAGTGCATAGTCACCCATGAAACCAAAAGAACATCTTCACAAGCCAATGGGGATATGCAGATAAGCTGGTTGGTCTGTTTGTGCCATCTTAACATTCAAGTTTTAATGATATTAATGATGGCATAGCTGTATCTGGTTCAGAATGTGATTCTTGTCAATGCTTTTCGTTCAATTTTCTTCATGTGATATAGCAAGGTTGCCTCCTATGTGTGAAAGCATTAGTTCAACAGTGTGGTTGTGTTTTTTCAGCTTGATTCTCATCAGAAATTAAAGAAATTGCTTGACACGTGTAGAGGACTTGGAGTTCAGACCAGTCCAATGGTTTTAGATGGCTTAGGAATCATTCCTTTGTTCTCATGGTACCATGAGGTGATTGGTCTATTAACATATATTTTAATTTTATGTTGTTTTTCATCTCTCAGGCCATCGATAGTTTAATCTTAGTAACGCTTAAGATAGCATAAAATAAATTAATAGGCTTGCTTATTTTTCAGAGCTTTGATAGGGAGGAGGAAATAACCAGCATCCACGTTTTGCCTTTGGAGATGGTGATTCACTTTCTTTTATCCTAGTAAGATTTGTAAAAAGTTTGATCATAACATGATTCTGCAGTTCTTGTTTTTAATTATACTTGCTATAGATTTCTAATGCATGTGGCCACCAGTTCTACTTGTATCACCAATATATGATACTGTTAAGAATTTTGATGACTAATATAATATACAAGTTTCCATGCTGGAAGCTATTCTTTCTCTATATAAGTTCAATAACAGACTTTCTGCTCTTTTCTCATTCTTGTTACTGTCCTCAATGTTATTTGAGTTCGTGACTGAACAAAATCTTAATTAGCATACCAAGTTGATAATATTGTCATAAAGTCCTTAATGGAGGACCTCGGCTTTCTTCTTTATTCTCTTTTCTTGTTTATTGATTGTTTGTCCTGTCTGCATTTACGTCTTTAGTGCTGAAGGTTTATATTCTATCTATTTTTATCTGTTGGTTTGGTATTGTTGTGTTGTTGCCTGTTTTATTTGTGTTCCTTATATGCGATTGATTTGTCAATTTACATTGCTGCAGTTATTATGGCTGCTTTATCATGTAGGGGAGCCGAACAATATATAGATGCTTTTATGTATATCGTTATTTCAATTTTTAGGCATGTAAGGACTTCAAGGCATGCAAGTGGTCCAAGGAACTGTCAAATGGAGATATCTCACTTGCCCTGTACTTTGATGCAATGAATGAAAAGAATCAGAGTGTGATCAAGGAGATCCAGAACACATGTAACCAAATAATTACATTTTCTCATTTTGTTCCCAGGTCAGGTTGATCGTGATTTATGCCTTCCAAAATACTAAGTCTGACTAGTTGCTTTCTCACTTTAAATATTTGAAAAATGCTTCTCAGATCATATATCTTGCTGATTGGCTTTCAGTTCAAGTACAAAAACTGAAGAAAAAAGAAAGTCCCCTTTTGTCTGTTTAGGGTTTATTTGTTCTGTAGTTAGTAGCCAAGCCACATTGTTTCTGAATTCTTAGCTGCTTCCATTGTTGGAAACTTTGAAACCTGCTTGATATAAAAGGATTTTGGCCAATGTCAAAACCATTTTCAAATTAACCTTTCGTTCTTTTTTTTCCTTGTAACTTTAGTGTGCATTGTTCTCGTGTCCTTTCCCTGAATCTCATGTGTCAATAAGTTTATGGATTCGGTCAGTAGTCTTCTGTTAGCGTGACAATTGCTTGCATACCATGTCGCCAGGCAAGAGCTGTGCCCAGAGAAAAGGATGCTATTCTATCCAAAGCTTCCAAAGATTATCGGTTCTGATTGTCTTGAGTTCCGTATAAGGTCTATCCATGGGGTTGAAGGAAGTCCATCTGCATGTCATGTGTTTGGTCATACACATTTCTGCTGGGATTCAGTGCTTCATGGTATCAGGTACATTCATAACTCACTTACCTCTGCAATAATGATTTCATACAATTTCTTTCTGCTTCTGTGGGAACAAGAGGGAGAAGAGTGCATCTAAAAAAAAAGGATTAACTACATAAAAGTACCCAACCTTTAAGGGTTATTTTATATTAGTAGCCAACCTTTTAAATTTTTCACGAGCATACCGATCTTTCATAAAACATACAAATTAGTCACTTTGTTAGTCAGACCATTAGTGGAAGCGTTAAGTGATGATGTGGCTGCTCTGATGTGGCTTTTTTTGCTGAGGTGGATACCACGTGGATTACAAAAAATTAAATTTTAAGTTAATTAAAAAACTCAATAATATTAACGACCAAAATTTTTTTAAAAAAAGAAAACTCTCGCTCTCTCTCTCTCTCTCTCTCTCTCCCTTACTTCCCC